TTAGTCAATCTGATAAGTGTGATATGGTACCTCAAGAGTTGTTTTACTTTACATTTCTCTAATCAATAGTGATTTAGAACATTTTTTTCATATAACTATAGATAGCTTTAATTTCTTCATCTGAACTGCCTGTTTATATCCTTTGACCATTTATCAATTGGGGAATGACTTGTATCCTTATAAATTTGACTCAATTCTCTATATATTTTAGAAATTAGCTCTTTATCTCTGCTTCCCTTCTAATCTTGGTTGCATTGGCTTTGTGTAAAAACTTTTTAATTTAATGTAATCAAAATTATCCATTTTGCATTTTGTAATGTTCTCTGTCTCTTGTTTGGTCATAAATTCTTCTGTTCTCCATAGATCTGACAGGTAAACTATTCCTTGCTCCCCTAACACCTTTATGTCTGAATCATGTACGCATTTTGACCTTATCTTGGTTAGGGTGTAAGATGCTGGTCTATGCCCTACTATTTCTGCCCTACTATTTTCCAGTTGTCCCAGCAGTTTTTGTCAAATAGTGAGCTCTTATCCCAGAAGCTGGAGTCTTTGGGTTTATCAAACTGTAGTTTGATAGTAGTCATTGACTACTGTGTCTTGTGTTCTTAATCTATTCCACTGATCCACCATTCTATTTCTTAGCCAGTACCAAGTGATTTTGATGACTGCTGCTTTGTAATACAGTCTTAGATCTGGTGTGGCTACCACCTTCGCTTGCTTTTCTTTTCATTAATTCCCTTGATATTCCTGACCTTTTGTTCTTCCAGATGAATTTTGTTATTATTTTTTCTAGCTCTATAAAATAATTTTTGGTAGTTTGATTAGTATGGCTTGGAATTGTAAATTAATTTAGGTAGAATTGTCAATTTTGTCTATTTTCAATGGACAGTTATTTTATCTCCCTCCCATCCCTCTTACTGATGTAAAAAAAAAAAAGATAAAAGCAATCCTCTTATAATAACTAAGCATAGTCAGATAAAAAAATGTCTATTCTTGCATCTTGTAACTATCGCTTCTCTGTCAAGAGATGGGTAGAATGTTTCATCTTTTGATCCTTTGAAGACATGGTTGGCCATTAAAATGATCAGAATTCTTAAGTCTTTTTGTCATCTGACAGTGTTGTTATTATATAAATTGTTTGACTACATCTATATCAGTTCATTCAAACAAGTCTTCCCAGGTTTCTCTGAAAACATCCTTTTAATTATCATTTCTTACAGCACGATAGTTTCCCTTTACACTTATGTACCATAATTTGTTCAGCAGTTCTCCATTAAACTGTTCTGCCAAGTTTTCAGTTAAACTGATTTTTTTTTTCTTTAGGCAATTGGGGTTAAGTGACTTGCCCAGGACAGCTAGTAAGTGACAAGTGTTTGGTCTGAGGCTGGACTTGAACTCAGGGCCTCCTGATTTCAGGGCTGGTGCTCTATCCACTGTGCTACCTAGCTGCCCCTTAAACTGATTCTTGAACCCCTGTTGTTGAGGGGTACAGTGGGGAAGCAGAATCTATTTGGGAGGCAGTGTGCTATGGTTCAGAGAGCCCTGGGTTTGGAGTCAGAAGATTAAATAATTAACGTGCATTTATTTAGTGTCTACTATGTGTCTATTTCTATTGCTATTGCTATTTATTTATTGATGGACCTATTATCACAATATTAGTGAATGACCGACCATGACAGTCAGGATCAGCATGACGATAAGAGACACCCTTTAAATATACCTAGGGAAGTTAGGTGATGAAGTGGATAAAGCCCTGGGCCTGGAGTCAGGAAGATTAGAGTTCAAATTCAGATTTAGATTAGCTGTTTTGTCCTGGGCAAGTCATTTAACCTCTCCTGCCCCAGTTTCCTCATCTGTAAAATGGGGGCAATAACACTTACTTCCCAGGGTTGTTATGAGATAATATTTGTAAAGCCCTTTGCAAACCCTAAAGCATTATATAAATGTTAGCTATTACCATTATTACACTATTAAAAAATAATTTTGCTTAAGCAAGCAGTTCTTTTCTTGATGAAACAATAGAGTATCATGGCATAACAATGGCATTGGGGAACAGAGAATTATCTAATTACCAGCTTTTCAAGTTATTCTGAAAGAGCGTGGCCACCCGGTATGAATCACTTTGGCTTGAAGTCTAATAAAATTCACAGCATGGTGGGATGGCTTGTTATGGGATTTTATTTTATGTCTTAGTAGATTTTTAATAATCAGTACAAAGACTTGATAAAGACAATTAAGAACTTAATCACATGCAGTTATGTTTGAAGAGTTTTTGTGTATTGACAGTGAGGTCTTGTTTGGGTAGGCACAATTTATCTTTGTCCTTGAAATGTTGCATTCTAATTCAGGGCCAGGAAATTCCAAGTAGTCTTGTGTTCCCTCTGGAAAAGCATACAGTGATTTCCCAGATCTAAATCTCACATCAAATATAGGAGGGAGAGGGAATTCCACGTAATATGAATGGCCTGTCCAGAATGGGGCTAGGAAGGGCAGAAAAGGGTTATAACGAAGGATATTGCCAGAGCCCAGGCACAGTGTTCTGAAGACCATCTCACGAGGCAGGATATGGGGATGGATTTGCGAGAGGCTGCCCCCAACGCCTGGTGCGCTGTTACATCAAACTCTCGCTGGGACACAGGTCAGGCTTTTCTGTATGCACAAGGGAAGCTCGGATGTTTTATATGGAGGAATAAGCCCTCTGGTTTACTGATTTACCAGCTCTGATGTCATAGGCAGGGAAATGTTTGTCATCTAGGAAGCTAGAAATGTCTGCCCTGAAGGTTCCTGGCATAGCAGACACCAGATATGGGAGATTCTAGAGAACGGGCAGAGTAAGAAGGGAATGGTACTGGGCAGGTGGAGGCGGCCTGGACAAATCACCAATGGCCTGTAAATCAGGGGTCCTTAAACTGTTTTTGTGTGATGGTCCTTTTGGCAGCCTGGGTAAGTCACTTAACCCCTGCTTGTCTCAAGTTTCCTCTTCTGTAAAATGGGGGCAATAATAGAACCCACCTCCCAAGTGTTCTCAAAGTAGTGTTTTAAAATGCATACAGTAGAATTCTTAGTATTAAAAAGGAAACCAAACATTGAAATGCAGTTATCAAAGCATTTTTTTAAATAAGCGCACAGACCTCAAGAGAATTGAACATAGTTGCAATTTAGGACTGAAATCATTTAGCTCTCCTCTTTTGTCTTTTGTATTTGATTAGTTTTGTTTAAGAAGGACTTGGGGAATGATGCAGCTGTTTGTTAGCAGCAGTTGACTTGGGCACAAAAAGGGTTGGGGTGGGGAGGAAGTTAATCCTTAGATGTTTGGCTGCACACCAAGGCGATTTTCAAAAATGTATTTTTAAAAAATCTCCAGTGCTTCCTCTAACTTCGGAGGAACGCTTCTTTAAATTAACTGTTCCCACTATTGTTTCCCTGGCACAGACCCTCACTAACATCCTCCTGAATGATTAAATAAAGCTTCTCAATGTTTTCCCTCCTCCATCTTCAGAGGCCTCCACCGCAGTGTAACCCTGAGTTCAGATGTGGCCTCAGACACTTACTAGCTGTGTGACCTTGGGCAAGTCACTTAACTCTGCTTGTCTCAATTTCCTCATCTGCAAAATGAGCTAGAGAAGGAAATAGCAAACCACTCTAGTATCTTTGCTAAGAAAACCCCACGGACAATATGGCCCATAGAGCTCATGAATAGTTGGACACAACTGAACAATATGTACATGTGTATGTGTGTGTACACATACACAAATATATTCACATTTGAATAGGCATCTCATGCTGGAGTCAGGAAGAATTGAGTTCAAGCGGGGCCTTTGAGGCTTACTAGCTGTGTGACCTGGGCAAGTCACTTAACCTCTGTTGGCCTTAGGTTCCCCATCTGTAAAATGGGGATGATAATTGTAGCACTTACTTCACAGGGTTGTTGTGGGGATCAAAATGAGATAAGATTTGTAAAAAGCGTTTAGTGCAGTGCTTGGGACATTGTAGATGCTATATAAATACTTATTTCCTTCCCTTCCCATTTTTAAAGCCAGTGCTGTAAAGAAGATACAGTGGTAACTAGAGTCAGAAAGATTAGGGTTCCAATCCTGTTTGTGACACTAGTTCTAACATCTTTGGCAAGTCACAGCCTCCTCTGAGCCCTAAGGTTTAGCTTAAGTTGTGAATCTGATGATAAAAACCACATATTGAATGGGCCTTAATTCCTTCCTCCCCTGCTCCCCAGGAAAGGAGTCACATTTCACATCCACATTTTCAGTCCCTTATCAAGTGGTTCTAGGATATGCCTTCATTCAAGTAGCAGGGATTGCAACGTGTTTTTTTGAATTGCTCGGGCCTATCACTGCATCTGGTCAAGGCACATATGGTCAGACTGAGCGAGGGTTCACAGCTGACAGAGAGGATGAAGAGAATCCCCAGAGGGCCAGATTTCATTCTGATGAGGTTTAACTCTAAGCACTTTATGTAATTAAGCCAGTCATCAGCACTATTAATATAAAAATTGTTTGCTGGTACTGAATTAGGTTTACAGTCTATGCCAGGAAATTGGACTCTTCAAACACTATTTCATGTACTAATGATCTTAATCAGGTCCTGCAGCCCTTTCTTAACCGATCAGATTAGGGAGTGGGAGGAAAGCCTGAACAACACCAAAATAATCTTTTTAAGCCCATTACCTCTTACTCCCCACTCCCGCCTTCGCTTTGATTATTAGCAGCCCTTTGATCTTTAGCTGGTACACTGGTAAGATTTATAGCTGGTATGTTTGTAAAGCCCCCAATGGTGAGCCCTAGGAGCAGAGGGGTCTCCAGTCTGCCTAAGAATAGAAGAAAACAGGCAAGGGTCAGAAAGGGAGCAGGTGGAAACTTTGATCAGCAGTGAGACTGGTCCCCAGAGTGACCACTGCATTTCTGGACTGGGTGAGATAGGGAGACCCAGTTTCCAAATATGTATGTGAATACATGCCTCTACACAAGTACATATGTCTATATGTAGCTAAGACACACACACACACACACACATGAAATCACAAATGTCACATACACATATGTATCCATGACACACATTTCATACATGTATATACATATGCTTCACTAACATGTACACGTATTATATTGTGTATTTCTATCTAAATATATATTTATACATATCTGTATATGTATTTATAGCATATAGTAGCATCTATATGTATGTGTATATGTATATGTGTAGAGGCAGTGGAAGAATACCTTCCCAAGTTCAAATCTGGCCTCAGACATTTACTAGCAGTGTGACCCTGGGCAAGTCAGTGAACTACGTTTGCCTCAGTTTCCTCATCTGTAAAATGAACTGGATAAAGAAATGGCAAATGACTCTAGTATCTTTGCCAAGAATACCCTAAATGAGGTCACAGAGTCAGACATGATTGAACAATAACAACAATGCCTATATGTATAGTATGTATGTGTATATAGTACATATAGCATATAGTATATATGTATATGTGTGTATATATGATCTGCACACATGTATGTGTCCATGGGGTTTTCTTGGCAAACATACTGGAGCCGTTTGCCATCTCCTTCTCCGATGAATCACTTTTTGTCAGAAGTCTCCATTATGACCTATCTATCTTGGGTAATCCTCCACAGCATAGCTCATAGTTTCATTGAGCCGTGCCAGCTTTTTGTCACAAGTCTGTGATCCAGGAGTTGAGATATATACAAGTATATGTATATGTATGTGTATGTGTATGTTTGTGTACGCGGGGAAAGAGGGAAAGACAGAGAGACAGAGAGACAGAGAGGGAGAGGTTAGTGTCAAACATCTACGGATCTTGGCTTTTGAAATCAAAGTTCTTCAAAGGCTATCTAAGTCCAAACCCCTTCATTCTGCAGAGAAAATTGAGGCCCAGAGAGGACAAAGAATTACCTTAGGACATAGGGATCATTCAGGGACACCTCTGAAATTTGAACCCAGGGCCTCTGACTCCAAAGCTATCCTGTATTTCCACTGGAGAGAAGGGAAACGTATTGAGGCAAGAAAGTTACTTATTTATTAAGAGTGTACTTTGTATTTATTCTAGGGCTTTGAACTAAAAAGGCTTTCATGTACTGGGGGAGTATGATGTGCCCTTAGATCTCTAGGTGCTATCAAACTCAAATATGGCCTATGATGTCATTAAACATGTCCTTCATCTTTACACAGATTTTGTGTCTGATTGGTCTCCCATGCATGATGCTGCTGTTAATGGACGTCTCTTTTCTCTAAGGATGCTCATCAGTCAGGTAGCTTTTAACCTAATATTATTGATATTTACTAAATTAATGTCTTATTATTAAGGTTAAAGTAATTTTTGATATTAGTAATATCTATTGATTATTAACACAACAAATATAATTACTATATGTAAATTGATACAATTAATATAAATAAAGAATACAGTTGTCAGTTTCAGGCCCTTGCTCCTAGATCACATTTTGATGTTTCCTGCAGAATGGGGATAGTAACATCCCTTCCCACCGTTCCTTAACTTAGAGGAATACTAGGACAGTTAATCAGTACAGGTATATCTTGCTTTATGTAAGAGGGAAGTCAATAATAATTGACATTCATACAGTACTTTCAGCATTTGCAAAAACATCTGACACATATCACCTCATCTAGTCCTCACAATCCTGGGAGATTAGTGTTTCAACGCTTATCATCCCTGTTTTACTTATAATAAAGGAATAGAACCTGAGAGAAGTTATGTAACTTAAGATCTTAAGATCAGTTGGATAAGTATTTATCAAGGTTTTAGGGGATTTGTGCTGAGTAGCTAGGTGGTGCAGTGGATAGCATACTGGACTGGAAATTTAATGAGTTAAAATTTGGCTTCAGACACTTACTAGCTGTGTGACCCTGGACAAGTTATTTAACCCCATTTGCCTCAGTTTCCTCATCTGTAAAATGAGATGGAAAAGGAAACAGCAAACCATTCCAGTGTCTCAAGTGGGGTCCCACATAGTCAGACACAACTGAGCAACAAGAAGAAGGATAAATTGAAGATAATCGATGGAACAGAGGCACTAGCATTAAGGATGATTAGATAGACGGCAGACTTTTAGCTGAGACTAGAAGCAAGCCCAGGCTTCCATGAGGAAGTGAGGAGAGAGATTTCCAGGCATGGGGGACAGCCAGTGAAAATGCAGGGAACTGGGAGATGGTGTGTCATATTGAAGAAGAGGTGAGTAGGGAGTATATTCCAGGCATAGATATGGGCATAGATAGGGCAAAGTCACAGAGCCTGGGGGTGGAGTGCTGTGTGTGCTGAAAAGAGACAAGGCCAGTCTGATTGGAAGGCAGAGTGTGTGGGAGGGGGAGTATTGTCCAGTGAGGCTGGAAAGATAGGTGTGGTCAGGGGCTTTAAAAATCCAACTGAGGAGGTCATGTAGGTACTTCAAAGCAATAGAGAGTCAATGACTCAAGCCATTGCTGGATTAAGGAAGTGACATGTTCAGATTGGTGGTTAAGAAAAAATCACTTTCATAGCAGTGGGAAGAATGAACTGAAGTGTGGGGAGACCAATTAGGTAGGCCATTGAATAATTTGAGTGAGATGTGATAAAAGCCTGAACTAAGGATCATTGATTTAGCACTGGAAAGGATGTCAAAGGCTATCTAGTTAACCTCACTCATTTTACAAATGAAGAAACTGAGACCCAGAGATTCAAAATAACTTTACTAAGGCCACACAAGTAATATGAGTCAGAATTTGAACCCAACTCCTCCGATACTAGAGTCATGTGGTTAATAAGTATATACAGCAGGATTTAAGCCCAGGCTTTCCTAATTCCAGATTGCTATTTTATCTACCTTGCTAGGTAGACTCTTTGGAAAATATTAATCTACTCTGAATTTTATTAAGCTGCTTTGAAATCTTATGCTCCGAATCATATTTCCTCTTTGACTTATATTATAATTCCAGATATTTGAACCAGGAGACATTTCAGAGCAGTTTGATATGGGAGTAAAAAATACAGACGTGACTCTTTTGGAGGGGAAAAAATAAGCCCTGTTTAATATGTAATCTTGTCAGTGAAGTTGAGACTTATCTACAAGTTAGTGTGTATTTTGTCTTCAGTTGACACTGGTCGTTTTTAATTGAGTTGGTTTCAATCGTTTCTGACTCTTTGTGACCCCATTTGGGGTTTTCTTGGCAAAGATACTGGAGTGGTTTGCCATTTCCTTCTTCAGCTCATTTTACAGACGAGGAAACTGAGACAAATAGGATTAAATTACTTGCCCAGGGTGACATAGCTATGAAGTGTCCGAGGCCAGATTTGAACTCACAAAGATTAGTCTTTCTGATTCCAAGTCTAGTGCTCTATCCACTGTCACCTAGCTGTCCATTCTTAATACTTCAGAGTTTCTATGCTCACTAGCTACTTTTTCCAGTATAGAAAAGATATATTCATTCAGACTTCAGTGATTTTGAATTTGGGATAACTCACAGAATGACATTATGATGAAACCAGTTTAAATTTCTGTTCAAAATCCCTATTTATATATTGTTCAAAATATTCTGTTCTTCTGGAAAAGAGAATACTGATAAAGAAAACTATAAACCGGTTTCACTAATTTCAATTTCAGTACATGAATGTAATAAGCACAAAATAATAAGCAAAATATTAACTGAGTTAACTAAAAATCATTGTTCACTGCATTCAGATTATATTAACAGTGATGTAAGGAGATTTCAGCATTTGGAAAATGATTAACATAATGTCACTAAGAAAAATTTGAAAAGTCATGTGATTACCTCATTAGACTATTGAGAAAATCTAATCAATTTATGATAAAAATATTAAGAAGAGTATATGTAGAGGATTTTTGTTTTCCAATATAGCAAAAGGCATCTATCTGAAACTAAGTGCCTATATTATGGGCAATGGAGAAGAATTAAAAGCCATCTCACTAAAACGGTGCCACTTTCACTACTTCTATTTGATGTTACTTTGTTGTTTTTGCTGTTCAGTCCTGTCTAACTCTTTGTGATCCCATTTGGGGTTTTCTTGGCAAAGATGCTGGAGTGGTGTGCCGTTTCCTTCTCCAGTTCATTTTATAGATAAGGAACTGAGGCAAACAGGGTTAAGTGACTTGCCCAGGGTCACATTGTTAGTGTGAGATTTGAACTCAGTAAGATAAGTCTTAATGATTCCAGGCCGAGCATTCTTTCCACTATGCCACCTAGCTGCCTTTTATATTACTTTAGGAAAGTATTATATTAGAAAATTGCAGTAAGCTATGACAAGGAATTAGAAGAATTAACACTGGAAATGAAGAGAGCACAGCATCATTATTTGTAGATGACTAGATTATGTGTCTAGAAAATACAAGTGACTCAAAAACGTATTGAGAAAATAAAATTAACAATGTTGAAGTTTGTAAGATAAGTTTATACAATCACTTATATCCTTGTGTACTACTGATAAAGAGCAGAATAGAATATGTATTTAAGGCATAAATCTTATTTACAACAACAAAATTAGGGAATTGATAAGCTTAATTACTCATGTGGCATTTACAAAGATAACTATGAAATATTAGCCACAGAAATAAAAGAACTGAATAATTAGAGAGATAATCAATTTTCATGGATGGGTTGGATTAACAAAGAAGATAATATTTGTTAAATTAATTTATAGATTATTTATTTAATTTATAGATTTAACATATAGGTTTAATAGAATAGCAATAAACATATCAAAGGGCTTATTATTATTTCATTTAGTATGTAGAAGATTGAGTAGGGGAGTAACATATTCAGATCCATGCTTAAGAAAAATCGCTTCCATAGCAGTGGGAAGAATGAACTGAAGTGTGGGGAGACCATTAGGTAGGTTCAATATTCTTATTCGATTACAAAAATGTCATTTTTTTTCTACCTGCTCAGTAGTCTACAGAACATCAAATAGAAAGGAATAGTAACAGGACATCAACTAATCAGACAGTTTTTATAAAAACCTCAACAATAACAAAAAAGATGAGAACAAGGTGATAATAATAACAATAAATAGTAATAATAATAATAATGCCATTTATGTAGTCCTTTAACATTTGAAAGGCACTTTTGAATATATCACATTTGATTACATAATCACATTTGACCTGTGCTTGCAAAAAAACTGTTAAGATTTATTGCCTTTTCAGGTTGGGAAACTGGTTCGGAGAAATTAAGTCACACGCCCATGGTCAGAGAAGTGGTTAGTCTCAGAGGCATAATTTGCATCCAGGTCCTCCTGATTCCATATCCACCACTTTCCACCATCCTGTAGAGGTTTGGGGGTGGAGGGGAAGTGCAGTCTCAAATATGCAAACTAAAACAACTCTTGAGATGTCAGCTAGAAAATTGACGAACATTAACAAAAACAAGGAAATTCAACTCATTGCTGATGACATTATAAATTGGTGAGAACTCTTCCTTAGGATCATTCTCTTAGGCTGTATTTCCCATGGTGGGATTATTGAGTCAAAAAGAACACTACAAGAGCAATGCAAATAACCATATCCTTTGACCCAGTAATCTCACTATGAGGAATGTGTCCTGAGAGAATTATCACTAATAAATAAGAACCATCTGTACAAGTTATTTATAGTTATATTATTTGTAAAAACCTGGAAACAGCCAAATGTCTGACTGTAGGAAACTTACAGAAGAAAAATTATGGCATGTCTGTGTAATGGTATAGCAGAAGAAGATTTAAAGACAGATATTATATATATATATATTATATATAATTGTTACTATATTATAGTATAGTATTATAAAATGGTATCTTACACGTCTTATGATTCATGGATTTAGAAAGGAAGGGTCTTTAAAGGTCATCTAGTCCAAACCCTTCATTTTACATAGGAGAAAACTAAGACTCAGAAAGGCATATAGCAAGGGAAACATCTTAGATTTGAACCCAGGACCTCTCACACTTAAGGCTTTTTGAGGTGTAGTCCTTGTCCCTTTTAACCTTATTCCCTCTCATGGCATCAACTACTAGGCAGATGACTTCTGTCCTCCAGACTCAAGCAATAAATCAATGAGCATTTATTAAGAGCTTACTCCGTGCCAGGCACTTTGCCAAATTTCCAGATACCCAAAGAACACATTCATGTAGATATCCTAGCATTGTTTCAAACTCAGAATGTTTAAAAGTGAGACATGATCTTTTTCCCTAAATCTGTGCCTCCTTCTACTTTAACTGTTTCATCTACTCTCCCATGTTTGAAATCTCTTATATCACTAATTT